GCTGGAGACCCAGGAAAGCTGGTGGTGTAACTCAGTTTGAGTCCAAAGGCCCGAGAATGGGAGGGGCCCAGTGTAAGTTCCGGTCTGAGTCCGAAGGCCCAGGAACCAGGAGCTGCAATGTCTGAGGGCAGAAGACCGATGTCTCAGCCGAAGCAGAGAGAGTGAATTGGCCCTACCTCCGCCTTTTTGTTCTATTCAGGCCCTACAGCGATTGGATGGTGCCCACCCATATTGGGAAGGGAGATCTACTTTACTCAGTTGCCTGATTCAAATGTTCATCTCTTCCAGAGACACCCTCACGGACACACAAAGATATAATGTTTTACCAGCTCTCTGGGCATCCCTTAGCCCAGTCAAGTTGACACATAAAATTAGCCATCACATCCCCTCATACTGGCATCCTGGGTCCTTCCAAGTCAGGCTCCTCCTACTTCCCCAGCACCATATCCACATGGCTCTGCTCTCCAGCCGTATCGAATTCCCCAAGATCCTAGACCACAGTGAGTACTTCCATCCCAGTCACCCCGGATATATGTGAGGTTCACAGCAGTCAAAGTAATTCTAGAACCTACACACTGCCCAGGTGAAAGACTCTGAATGAATCCACTACTTTGGTCAGGTGAGCTCTGGATTTGGGCTAAACTAAATAATACAGTTGCTGACACTGATGGAGCCATTCATATGTGCCAGGCACCCTGCCAAGAGCTTTACATGCATTACTTATTTAAGACTCGTGATGAGGCTGTGCAGTAGGAATTATTATCAACTCCATTTTACAGATGAGAAAATGTTGAGGCTCAGAGAAATAAGGTAACGAGCCCAAGGTCACAGCTGGTCAGCGCGATGGACTGCAGAGTCCAGGCTCCTTGCTTGTTTTTCCCGGTGTCACAGGGTCTGTTGGTGGAAGCTGTGGCTTCTGCTTCTCTTCCTTTGGAGGTCAGAGCCTGGCAGCCCTCCTGAACACCTGAGGCATTAGTTCTCATTGTTATGTAAATAAACTCTTTTGACAAACAGCAAGATGGATGAGAGAAACCAGTGGCCTCTGCCTTAAGGAGGGGCTCAGCGAGAGTTGGACAGGTGAGTTGCAGGGGTCTGAGGAGGAATTCCCACAGGCCAAGGAGCTTGTAAAGCCCAATACGGACTCATTCCCAGATCCTCTCCCAGCTTTGTCTGGAAATAGCCCTTCACCTTCTAGAATGTTCTCTACTTTAGTGTGGCAATTAGCAACTGACCTGTGGCCCTAGACAAGCACCTTGGCTTCAGAAAATCTTCCTTTTCAGGTTTTCATGCCAGACAGGAGCAAGAGTCCATACGTTTGGATGATAGCAGGCATTCTGTGTGCCACAATTTTATGGCTTACCAGCATCCCAGAGCTGCTGCATGTAGTCAGGATAATTAAAGTATGACCTAACTGGGGTGTCTGATGGGGCTGGAGCCTCATTAGACCCCAGAGATCACAGGGGTTGCTGGGGACCTTTAGGGCTCCTGTGGCATTAGGTAATAGTCAGTGACTGATGATCCTAAGGCAGCACATATCTGGCTCTGCTCTCTAAGTCTTGGAGGCAGTCATCTCCCCTGAGCTCCAACTTTTTTTCCTTTGTGAGCCTGGAATTCGGGTTGGTTGCTGACTTGTTCAGAAATCCTGTTCTTGCACCTCAGTAAGCATGACATGTGGACAGTCCCACACAGCTCCTCACTGAAGAGTTGTGCCCCAGTCCTGGGCCACAAGAATTAGCTCCAGAAGGAGAACCCAGTCACCTGATCTGTATTCTGGGCAGGTCACTTCATTGCACCACACCCTGAGTAATTACTGAGAATCATCCTTCCAATCACTTGGCTGAGGCCAGGTATGTGGGAGGGCGACGAAGGCCAGCCTTCTGACTCCTCAACCACAAAAGCAACCCCACTGACTCCTTTCCTGGGTGCAGGTTTCATTTTTACAGGGAAAAATAGAGAACAGCTGTTTTTAACTCTCTACTACCCAGTTTATGGTGGGACACAGGAGGAACAAAGCTGGGTTCAGAGAGAGTTCGGTTCATGTTTAATTCTTGTTCTATCTCGCTTCTGATTTCTACTGAGAACAGGGGTTTACTTCTGTTGACTTCTCATTCTGATCTGTCCATAAAGGGAGCTGGTGGCATTCATCATTGAACAAATATTTCTGTTCTCGGCGCTGAGGATACAGCGATGAACAAAACAGATAAAATCCTTGTGTGTAGGTTACACTCTGGTGCAACAGGCAGAAAATAAACAAGATAAATAAGTAAAATATATAAGGTGTGGGAACATGATCATTGAAAGGAGAAAAAAATAAAGCAGGGAAGGGAGATACGAAGTGTCTGCAAGGGGAGGGGAGGTCAAATATAAGAGAGGTGAGAAGTGCTCAGTCACTTTCTCTGTGACTTTGGATCAGTCACATGACTTGTCCACTCTGCTCTACTTCGTGTCTTCAAAGGGGCCAATGTCCATCTGGAGGATCCAGGCCCAGCAGATAAGCATGTAGAAGGGGCTCAATAAATATTTTTGAATGAAACATCAAAGTGCTTTACACATGCAAAGCATGAGGATGATGATGATGACAATGATGTTTTAAAGGTAAATTGCAAATTCTTGAATTTGGCCTTCTCCTCTCCCTTTTCTTCAGATGACAAGTATCCATGGAATATTCCAGCACTCCTCAATGCTGTCTGTGGGTCTTAAATGTTCTTGGTTTGCTCCCAGACTGTAATTTCAACAAGGGAATATTCCACATACTTTTTTTTTTTTTTTTTTTTAAATAACATTGAAAGCACTGTTATGTAATAAACTTCTCCATCCAAAAAAAGGCCGGAGGAAAAGCAGAGAGCAAGTGTTAACAGGTTCTGGTTATACTGCAACCTCGAAGCAGCCCTGGGATTACCTTGCAGTGTGTCTTTGGGCAATTTGACTCACTTCTCTGGCTTCCCTCATTGTCTGTAAATGTGGTTCTCAATGTCAAACAACCTTTGGGGCTTGTTAGGCAAAAAAAGCGAAGGAATAATTTAAAACCACTCAGTCAATAATGTCAAAAGGTAACAATGAGAAAGATTCCCTCTGGGTCCTGTCTGGAGGGAGGGAGAGGATCTCTGCTTCAGTGGTCTGATCTCCAGGTTAGGGTTTTCAGAACAAACACAAGATGCTAAATTTGAATTTCTGATAAACAAGGAATCTTTTTGTTTGTTTGTTTAAGTATGTCCCAAATGTCCCACCTAGAATCTTCTAGGATCCTGGAGCTGGAGACCCCTTACAGATCTTCAAGCCAGGGAAGGCAAGTTCAAATGTCTAGAGGGATTAGGCAGGTGACATCTGGATTTTTATGTGAAATCTCCTTATTTTTAAACCTTAGCGACACATTCAGTTAAAAAACAAAAACCCACTGTGTAGACCAAAGGAAACAATGCTCTGGTCAGTTTATAAGGCCAAAACATTTCAACCATTATAGAGATGAGGAAATGATGCCTCGAGAAGACACGTGTCAGCAAGGCCACACAGCTAAGGTTTCTCCAAAGGTCACAGAGCAATCATCTTCAAAATGTTGAAGATGAGCAGTCTGAAAGAGCCAGGATGGGAGCATTCCACGCAGTTTGGAAGATATTTTCACCTCCATCAGCTTATAGGACTCTGAGAACATTCTGGAAGGTGAGCAGTTGGGGACACTGAGGGTCAGAAAGGCAAAGTGTCAACTTCTGCCTAAAGGCACACGGGTAAGTCTCCACAGGGAAGTCTAGGGCTGCTTTTCACTCCACCTCTGATTCAGATGAGATAATATCTAACCCTCTTTTAGGGTCCTAATAAAGACAAACTCCAAATCTGATTTTCTGTCTCACCAACAGAATAGAGTCAGGAGGCCAGGCTGAGTGGCCAGATTTTTAACCCGATCACAAATAAAGGAAGGGGTTAAGTAGTCAGGGTTCCTGCCATGTAACCAGGCTCTTTGGCGTTTACCATGTGTTTTCTGTCCTAGCAGTTGTATAACTTGTCCTACCACTGGCCATTGATTTCTCTCATGTACATCTTCACATAGGAAGGATGTTCTGAAAGATGCTGATAAAGATTTTGAAGGGGGAAGGATGTGATCTAAGGCTGTGCAGAGGAAGGAAAGGGAGAAGGACACAAAAGGAACAAATAATTTATTGAGAGTCTAGCGCATGCCACGCACTGTGAAAGGTGTGGCAGATAATTCTTTCCCAGCTCTTTGCATGTCTGAATAATTCTCATTTTTGTGGTTTCAGCTCAAATATCACTTCCTCAGAGAGCCTTCTATGACCATCCTCTCTAAAGAGCCCTTCCCCCCACTATCTCTTTAACTTGCTCAGTTTCTCCACTGCATTAAACTCTGTAATTATCTTGCTCATTTAAGGACCAGCTCCACTTACAGATTATGGGCTCCATGAGGGCAGGATATCCGTCTTGTTCTCAGAATTACGCCTAGTGCCTATCATAGGACCTGGCACATGGCAGGTGCTTAATAAATATGTTAAATATTTATGAATAAATATTTACAAGAATATATATTTATGCTCCATCCTTCCTGAAAGAATTTCAACTAATCCTTCTTTAATGTTTTTTTAGCCGCCTGTCCTATTAAGTAGGAAGTGGAGCTACAGTTCTAGGGAGAGAGAAATGATAAGGAGCGAAGAATCAGTGCGCGGCGCTGCAAAGCATTTTTCTGCAGCTCACACAGCAGCCTGTGAATTTATGCTTCCTGGACCAATTATGAGACAGCTTGCAAACAAATTATCTGCAAACGAACGAAGCTTATTTTTAAAGATCCCAGTGCCTCGAAGCTCTAGGCGATGACATCAGAGAACTCTTAGTTCCACCCCCAGCCAAGCCCCGTAGTCCTCGAAAAACTACGAATCCCAGGATGCACCGCAGCGCAGGGGCCCAGAGCTCCGCGCGCCGCCCGCCCCGAAGCGCCCAAGGCCACCTCCCCTGGAACGAGGAAGACGCCGGAGACCCGGCCCGCCACGCCGCCGGGACCCGCGCGGGGCCTGCCGGGACTTGTAGTCTCCGCGGGCTGGGAGTGCCAGCTCCGGAATCTCGGCCGCCGTCTGGGGGCTGAGGCGGCGCGGGCACGCGTGCGCAGTGCGCGGGCCGGCCGTCGTGGGCGCCGCTCCCGCAACT